AGATTTTGAATGCAGATTTGAAATCAGCATCAAAAAATACGTCTAATGGTATAGGTCTCATTTCAATTGGCCACTTCGACTTGGGATCCTTCCCTTGTTAGAAGCATACCCGGCTCTAAATTGACTGATGAACGGAAGTTCCTTCAAGGCATGATTTTTGCCAACTCTGTCAAATCCAATTAAACAAAGGCTAAAACTTCGCGGCCCGTTACCCACTGACTACGATCGGTTAGTTCACGATGCAGAAAGGATTTGGAACCTCACAAACACAGAGGCTAACGCTTCATCCGATAATTTTTTGATAGCTGAAATTGATGAAGTTCTCAGTGCCTTAGCCCCGCCTTAGCCCCACACAGCCAATCGAATTCTCCCATGACTCACCACGTCCACCATCCGAGGCGAAAATAACCTATAGACAGGAGTACTATGGCTACAATCTTTTCTAATCTTCGTGCTCTTCTTTAAAACTTTTGGGGCTACAACACCTTACTCTTATGGAGACCACGTCTAAAGGAAGTAAAGACAGTAAAATCTTCCTTAGGAGCAGCGTCGTACTTTCAACGCCACATACCGCGTTTTTCAAATCATTGTCTCAGGCACTATTGTCTACGTTCCACGCGAGCTTATGCTTCCATACCCAACACATCACAGCAAATACTTGTGTCACTAGATAAGGAAGCATCAGACGGTATGAAACAATTAATAATCAGGCGCTTCCGCCTTTTTCAGGTGGTAGGACATATTTACGGCGAAGAATTATTGAGATGTTCCACAGAAATCCTTGTGTGTAAGTCGTCACAGACAGCTTCCTTTGGTGAGTTTCAATTTGTAGTTTCAATTTGGCTGCAATGCTGCGACGCTCTCAAAAACTCTTTGAATAGGCGGTTTGGAGAGACCACATGCAGCGTATATCCCGCTTATTTTGTAATCTCAAAAACAAAAAAGTAATACGCCCTTATTCTAGTCGCTCACAACAAGAATAGTATTCGCTTCACAGTATGTTGAAGTAGTTGTAGTATGGCCTTATATCAGTCGAACCTCAGTGTGCATAGACTAATATTCGCATCACAGTTTGCATACCAGTTCGAGAATACTTAGCATAACTCGGCCTGGTATTTTTTTTTGTTATCGAATTTGACTACAGCACATTTGTTAAGTCAAGTTGTCATAAGCCTTACCATTGTGTTTTATTTCGCTGTAATTTCTATCACACAAAAGAACAAAAACTGTCTAACCAGTAGAATTAGCCTTGCAATGTCTTTATGAGACCGATATCAATTATCAGGTGTATAAAGGTAACTCATAGGCCAGCGATCACCACTATAATCGACTCGTTGAAATTCCATACGTATGTTGAAGTATGACGTTAACATCGAACGACACTATTATGACGATCATCCGTATCCCACCCACCCTCACCTCCTTTCGGCTCGAGTCGAGCCTTTTTCTCGAAGGTGTGGCGAAAGCCCTCATGGACATTTTTGTACTCTTTGATTGTTTCAGTGTAACGCCGTCTGCCACCTACCTCGTCCACAAAACTACACGGTCAACTAGTAGCACGATATTCTAGGATCCATTCTATCCGTTTTTCATCAACTTTCTATCTCTATCATCGATGACGTGCAGTACCGCTTGAGAGCTTATTCGAAGCTTGAGGAGGAGCTTACTGTAAAGAATGGGGATGTCGTATCATCGCTACCCGACCGCCACCTGGACGAGACCACCTTTCCACGGTCGTTACACAGGACCACTATAAAACGAGTCAGATACCGGCAACTTGTCCTCTCACTCATCTCGCTTGTCTCGCTCTGTGTGGAGTGCCCATCGCGTCGGCGCGGGCCGATTTGTCCTGGCCTCCCCTCGATCCCGTCGTACAATGTAGTCTAATATATAAATAATAAAGAATGTATTACACCTGTTGTCACCCCTTACATGAGCTGCCGTTCCGCTACATCATCAGTTATAGGAGTCATGAACCTACAATCTGATAACACATAATCAGTTTTGCTGTTTCTGCAATCGCTGGCGATTACACAAAAGCGTGTATCTACTATTCAAACACTTGTTTTACCTGAAGACCATCATTCATGGCCTCTTCCGATTGCATGAGAAACAAAATTTTTATTAGAACGATATGTATCCAACGTAACGCAAGAGCAGATGCAATATAGTAGCATTTGATGTAATCTACTGTTTGAGGCGTGGATATAAATAGAAAAAAGTTTTGGAAGTAGTGATATTGGAGGATAATGAGAAGAGAAACTGAAAAAACTAAGCACAAAAAAGATGGAGCATGGATAATAGAGTGAAAAGTCTAATGAAATCCAGATGTAGAAGAAATGGACCAGTAGTCAAGTCACATCAGTACCGACAAAAAGAGAGGTAAACAAACAGAGCAGATGAAGAACCTACACAGAAGTAAGAGAACCAACCGCGCTCATTCCCTCCAGATTACCAAGTCCACGACAAGATCGAGGTCGTGGAAAATTGCGAAATAACTAGCTGCATGGTTGAAGGTTTTATCGTTTATGTTCGTGTCGCAATTTGGCTCACGAATGGCCTTAACAATATGGCATAATGACTCATGGAGGCCCAACAAAGCAATCCTGTACATATGTTGATGTGGCCGTTGCAAATCAGTGGGCCAGGGAGGGATCTGAAACATAGAACAAGATTGCTTGTTTTCTTTGAAGGAGGGAGGGCGGAGCCACTGCGTAAACGAAAACCGGAATGAGGCGGGTTAATCCCGCTCATCCAAGCTGCTTGGTCGCGACGCAAACGCGTCGCCTGTCCCGTTCTGTACGGGACCCACCCAAAGACGGCACTTGCAGGAAGACAAAACCCCATTTCCGTCTCCGATACTTTACGACGAAACTTACGTTTTGTCTTTCGCGACAACAACGGAGTATAGATAAAGCCCGGAGGGGGTCAATATGAGAGTAAGGCGGACGTAAAGTCAAAGTTTAGAGCCGGTAGGATAAAAGTGAACGAGGGTGAAAAGCCTTGTAAAACCGGGGACCCTGCCGGAAAAATAACAAGACGTCGGATTACTGGAATCCAACCGCCTCCCTTTCGAAGGAAAGGAAAGGATAGGTTCGACAGCCACATAGGGAATCCCAGGCTATGGTGCGATTTAGCCCATGCCAAGGTATTTGATAAAAGGTAAGGCGGTGGAACCCACCAGCAGCAATCGGATTGCCACCAACATGCTGACTCCACTGAAAATGCATCGATGCCACTCGCATTCTCTGAAGCGAGTCTGGATATGGACTTCTCGCATTTTGCTGACACCGGGGTAGCAAACATGTCTGCTGTGCTACTTAGTTCCGCGAATATTTTGTTTGAGATGCACTAATCGTCTAAGTCGATGAATCTTGACACAAAATCCGCTTCGGAATTCAAGGATCTGGGGATCCAAACGGACTCTATATGTGAGTTTAGGGTCGAACACAGGCCCCATATATGCCGAGCCAGCTCTTGTAGGTCCGATTTAAGACTTCCTTCGGACAAAATACGGACGGCACATTGGCTATCGCGATGCCATGAGTAGGATTGGAAAGCCAAAAAGTCAGCAAATGCTTTCAAACTGGTCCAAATCCCAAACAACTCCCTAATAAATTATTACAAACGATAATGTTATGACAAAGTATTAAAAAATATAAGGGGGAACAAATCAAAGAAGTAGTTCAACTTCCGTTTCGCACGTGCCCTAGACGGAAGTCGAATTTCACAATACTAAAGGTAGACGACGTACCAGTAGCATGGGCTGGTAACAGAGAGGAAGTTTAGAGTTTTGATCCCATTTCTGAACAAAGAACTGCCCCAAATCCAAATTCCGAAGCATATGAAAATGCGTAAAGAACGTACTCTGAGACTTGTGCTGAGACTGCTATTGGCACCCCTGTGAAGGACGCTTCAACTTCCGGCCAGCTGGATAACTCACATTTTTCTTGTACAGATAATTTCCAACGAAACGCCAGAGCGGAATTGTCGGCCTGTTCACTGGCTACTTGCGATATAACTGCACGCCATCTTTTCTTGATATCTGACGCTATAACTAAATGCGTGGAAGCAATACAGCCAAGCCATTTCAACCTGTCTAGCAACGATGGACCCCTACTTTTCAGCAGGTGAAAAGTAAAGTAAAAGTGAACCAATTATATGCCCCAATCACGTGATTCTTTGGGTTGGACACCAAACACATTTCTCTTCTGCCATGGTAGTTTCTGCCATTTTTAGGTCCTGTCTGACCCTTCTGACATAATCATGGCGTAATTGAGCTGAACGAGCCCAAATGAGGCCGTCGCCTAAATATAAGGCAGCCGACATACCTTCCTCTCTCCACTTTCTAAATAGGGGTTTAGACATTTTGGTAAAAATATAGGGGGCAGGCCCCGTGCCAAAAGGTAAAACCAAAAACTGAAAATATTTTGTCTACATTGGAAACCCAAGTAGTTTGTAAAACTCGGATGAATGTTTATATGATGACCAGTTGGGCTACGCACGCCACAATGCGTGCACCACATGCCCGCGCATACGCCTACGATTAAAAGTGTCAATCGGGTGCCCTTCATCTTGAAAATAATGAACCATTAAGGTTTGACTGATAGGCAACCAAAGAATTGTGCAGTGCTCACTAATGTTCTCTAGTGATAATAACACCATTATCAGATGTCGTTATCACTGAACCTTCTTTCCTGCACGGGTACATCATTAGTTGAGAATCCCAAACTATTGGCGGTCGGATGAGCTTTGACGTAAATGATATCAAAACATAAAGTACCCTTGATCTCCCACCGAGTTAGAAACCTTGCTGGGAGCGGTCGTAATCTATATTATGGTCGTAATCATAAATACATCGTAAATACCACAGGAAGTAAATTCAGTTCGAAAGTGCTCTTATCAGTCGTTATCAGCTGTTATCAGTTCCTATCATCGATCGTCTACGATCCCACCATAGTTTACATCACATGCCAAACTGTCAAAGCTCCACTATTAATGCCATCATTATAGTGGCTCTATGCTTTGTAGGATTTTCATTCACCCTTGTCAGTTTTATCAGCCACTGCCTGGCACCAACCATTCTCGATCCCGTTACGATCCTGTTACATCTTACATAACCTATCAAAATTCCAAGATTCCATTATTAACAGTAAGTGCGTTGCAGATCTAGTGGCTCTCGCCTTCTATGGTATCTTATCAGTCCCTATCACTTGCTATCAGTCCCCGTCACCAAACATTTGCGGTCCCTTCTCACCATACACCACTTGTCAAAGTGCCAAGGCTTCATCGCTAATACGAACGGAGTTACGGGCCCTTTGGCTATTGCCTTTTAAGGCTCCTTATCAGTTTCTATCGATAGTTGTCACTTCCTACCACGTACCATCGCTGTTCCCATCGTGCCGCCTATCTCTCTTCCAAATTTGAATGTTCTAGGTTCAGTGGGACGGGAGTTATGAATTTCCGGTCAGACAAACACACACACACACAAACACACACACACACACAAACACACCAACAGACACACGCTAGCCGATTATATAAGTAGGATAATCAGATCTGAAGTCAAACGAGGCCATGTATCCATCTCTGGGATGGAGAGGTAAAACGTTTGCCACATCTTGGTATTTCACTTTACGCTTCTAGAGATATTTATTCAGTGAAGATAAATTCAATATAAGCCGCAGCTTCTTACCTTCGGCTACAGAGAGAGGGTTGATTCGTAAAGTTTCTTCGTTATGGACTTGTACGATGGCTTTGATATGCAGAAGCTTATTGACCTCCGAATCTACAAATTCATAATATTGATAAACTTAAGCTGCATTGTCAGAAATAAAGCCCAGCTCTGGTTGATGGTAAATGTTTGGCAGAAGCCCCTGCTGTATCACTGACCGCGTCAGATCTGAAAGGCTAAGATTTAACCAGAACTGACCATGGCCATGAATTCCACCCGCTTCGAACTCACTTTCTGACCTTTGCCTTGCACTGCTTGTCCGAGGTTGTCCCTGATCCCATTGTCGTGTGGTGCAAACTCCATAACCGGTGTAAGGAGCTTCAGCATGTTTTAGATGAGTTCATATTGTTTGCCGTAGGCTCTTCTTTCTGAACGTAGGAATGGTCGACGGGCCGGGCTCAGCACTGCCAAGTGCCGACACCGGCACCAAGCCCCTAATGGCTCTGACTACAGCCTCCTCCAACGGCTGCGCTCCTGCCTGCTGTTGCTGTGCTGGGGCTGGAATAGCCGCCTGATCTGGTGGTGTAAAAGCCGGTTGCGTTGGCGGTGAACTCGCCTGTGGAGGGCAAATAGTTGTCCTGATTGGTTCAAGTTGGCCCTAGAAAGGGTGACCTGTGTGCTAGGCCGCACGTGATTTTTTCCTTCCGATGCCATCTTATTAGGGACTAATCAGTATATTCTATACGTGTACGAATAGAAGATATAAACTGACTTGGGCTATAACAAGTTATGATAACCAGTCATGAATACCAAAAAGAAACACAACACGTCTTATCCGAGCCTGCCTCAGTGAAATACCTAAAAGAGGAAAGCCTACTGTACCTGCTAATATGGCCTTATGGTCGCTACGCCGCAAAAAAACCACCTCGTGGCAATTGCTTTTCAAAAGATAGTCGCGTGATAAACGGTTAAACGAATCAGATACTGTATCTGATGAAACACAATGACACTACCACTGCACCCTGCAGAAAAGCCACTGTTGGGCCGAAGGAACTGTCCTTCCAATAAAAACAACTCACTTTAAAATTCCCACTCGATAGTAAATGCTAGCAGTGAAGTGTCTTGATACCAGTAACAACGTCGTGAGCAAAATATGCAATAGCTAAAATGCCAGTATCGCAGCGAAGTTCCCAAGCCTAGACTACTCAGTTGACTGGAAAACTGTAGCCTGATAACTTCTGCCCCGAGCTGATGCTCCTTAATATAATGAACTGCTCTCTGAAAGAAACTCAAGGCCATGAAGGACTGGTGGAATAAATCAACAGAAGGATAGTATCAAGGCTCTGCGAGGCCTTGAAACGAGACGGATTTAATCGTCCGTGAATGTGTGACACAGTAACCCAAACACACGCTGAAGCGCCTCCGCTTCCACACCCGTCACATATACGACGCAAGGGAAAGGTACCCCGGACGAAGTCTACGGGACTAGGGAGTTACGGTGCCACACATTCACGGGACGTTAAAATCCCTCTAATGGCCTTGAACAAGCAGTACAACTGTGATACTAATATGAATGAGTAACGCAATAAGAGTAGAATACCTCGATTCAGCGCAATTCGCGCGAAAGAGTACCAAGAATTTGTGACTATAAAACTTAGCGACACGAACCGTCGCCACGTAAACGAAAACCGGAATGAGGCGGGTTTACCCCGCCCAGCCAAGCCGCTTGGCCGCGATCGCCCGTCCCGTTCTGTACGGGACCCGCATAATGGCGGCACTTGCGGGAAGACAAACTCCCATGTTAAGAAATAGGAAATCACCAGAACACCCCGAAATAACGTGCTATGACGCGAACGGTTGACAACTGCGACGCAACTGCTCACAAGGGTATGTCTGATTTTGGGCCGTATGCATAATGCCCAGGGTAGGGAAGGGGAGAGTATCGCATCTAAAATATAGGGCACTCTCCGGCGCGTGTCGCGTGCGCACCTCTTGGCCCATTGCCAAATGTGGTATATTCTCCTCAACAGGAAGTATTTTACTACTGACACACAAGAATGCATGGGAAACACTGTCTTATGATCACCTCACTGTTATTGCTTAATATTCTGGCTCACTTATGAGCTTATTTATGTTCCTAAGCTCTTCACTAGTTGCGGCTAATCCCTCTCCCTATTTAGCGATCTCCATATATTCGCTATAGTTTCTGCATTTTTGCACATTAAATGCCACTGGCAATTATCCATTCTTATACAAGCCCTTTCGGAAGCAACAAGACCTCGATTTTAATTTGAAGAAGATTGAAGAATTGGACCACCTAGGAATAGAGATACGACCCCTGACTCTGCTTCCATCGCTTTCGAGTGTCGTAGAGGCTTTTACAAACTGAAGTATTGTAAACCCTCTATCTTTACTCCGAAAATAAGAAGGTCACTTGCCCCTTCCATAGAGACCTAGCGATTTCCTCACACCTAATTGTCGTGATTGCGACCACTTCAACCCGTGTACTGATGTCATGATTCCAAAAGGCGGAAAACATGTCCGGACTTATGATCCCAAAAGGCAAAAACGTGTTTGTTTTTGTTGGAATGTTCATTGGTCCACTCAACTAATGGAATTCTGAAAAAGCGTGATAAAATGAGTATTGAGGCTAGGATCTATATGAATTCAATCCCATTCGTCCACTTATTCTTCTCGTCATCCCACATGCACTAGTGTCGTAACTTCCATCCAACTTGCAATATCATTCCTTTATTTCATAGCCTTATTTGAATGGCTCCATCGCATGGGCCTCATTCATGTATTTTGCCAATCCTACGATATTTTTAGGGATAATCAAATTTATCCGCCATAATTTCTACTATCCAAATTTGCCTTGTTCTGCAGAATCTATATGGTATCAGGTTGCCCATCGATAAGGAATCTCTTTTGTTCTCCTATATTTACCAATGCAATGCAATTTCCATCTGAGTATTCTAGAGCTCTCATAGCGATGGACTTGAGCTAAAGAGTTCTCATCTTAACAAACGGATCTCCCTGAAAATCGCCTACGCGGACTTTAAAAGCTGCTCTCATGGCATTGGGGTGAGAGGAAGTAAACCAACTTACCGATAAAGGGGGACACTCTAATGCTGAAGGTTCCTGTAAGACTGAAGAGCTCAGGTACACGAACAAACTCTTAAGCAAGTCAGCCTCACAGCACCATTGACAAACATTGGGCACTAACAGTGAAATGATCCTGAGAAAGTGTTTCCCATGCATTCTTGTAGCAATCCTACTTATTATAAAGCGCTTAGCCTGTCGTTCTGTCTGTCGTTCTGTTTGTATGTCTGTCACGAAATTCCCCAGTACAACCTTATTTTATTCAAACAGAGCACGAGATTAAATATTACAATTCCTCCGGCTAACGTTTCGGCGATTTTCGCCTTCTTCGACGACAATAGTAGCGTATGCCAGGCTGATCAGAGCTCACGGTTCCGGCTGGAAAGCTTTCCTTATATAGGGGGTCAGTTCCCGCGTTATTGACACACATTCTCCCCTCCTGCTCATTTTTGGATGCCTGACCCGAACCCAGAACGCCTCCAGGGTTCCGCGCGTCACGATCTCGACGATCACCTCAAAATCGTCTCCGTTATGAGGTTCAAGCCTGTGGCAACCTAAGGCTGTAGATGGCCGCGACCTCGCATTTCCCTCCAAATGTTCCCTAACACGAATGTAAGACGGTATAGCCGTCTCCCCGCAATTTAGGCAAATAATCCTGTAAACCACACCTGCGATGGCACAGTCTCCATCACTGCCATTGGGACAGACCACACAGTTCTCGTTCGCGCATGTACGGTCACAGAGAAGGTTTCGAATGAGACGATTTTCCCTTCCCTCAAACCTACTTCGAACAGCAGGAGCCTGATGCCACTTCAGACACCAGCTTTTGGATTTTCGCTAATGAGGTGTTCAAGGTGTTCAGTAGGTACCGAAAACGTAACTTGCCATCCAATCTCTCTCACGACCAAGTCCATGGAATTAGGCAGCTTCAAGAACTAGTCAAATCCCGTACCATAGGGCTGTCCATGAGTGACAAGGGAGAGGAGTTCGTAGTGATCCCTCATCAACTCGATCACGAAATAACGGAACGGCACCTCGAGGATCACTCCCTCTACCGATCATCCTCAGAGAAAGAGTTTCAGTCGCAGTTCCGAAGGCTGAATCGAGAATGAGTGACGGTGGCGAAATCGGTTGACCTCGACTCTAATACAATTAAACGTCTCAAGTTAGAGTCAACGAGCTGTCCCGTACTTTACCTTCTCATCAAGAGTTAGTTCTCACCAACGGACGATTTGGCCTCAGTACGTCCTTCCTTTGTCAAGGTTAGACCAGTTATTAGCAGCGTGGGGGGTCCCACTGACAGGATCGCATAGTTCCTCAAGACCATACTGGAACAATTTTTTCAATTTATACCATCGCACCTTGCCATCACTCATATATTCCTAAGTTACCCAGAAAGAGTGCGCCCCAATAGCTCCTGTGATATGGAATCATTCGACGTGGAAGCTCTGCATACCAACGCAAGTAATGCCTCTGCTATGGAGGCCGTTTCAGAGCTTCTCACTCAGCACTGTCATGCTCTCAACATGAAAGGGTTATCCGTAAGACAAGTAATGGGGCTTCTCAAGGTGTGCCTTAACTGCAACGTTTTCAAATGGTCGGGGAGGTACTCCCCGCAGACTAGGGGCTTAGCCATGGGGCAACGCCTGGCGCCTTGACTGGCCATTGCTTTTATGGCTAAAATAGAAACACCCGTTCTGAAACGCGTGCCCCTGATGTACTGCCGCGACGACTGCTTCGTAGTCTGCGCGACACAAGAGGAAATAGACTAATCTTCGACCTCATCAATAGGCAATCTGAGCTCATCAAGCTAACCCGTGAGAAGCCGTCCGAAAGCTGGCTCCCTTTTCTTAACGTGCAGGTCAAGCTTATGGGGTGCTACTTTGTCACAAATTGGTATAGGAAGCCCAGCAACGATAATGTAATTCCTCACTGGCATCAGCGCATCCTCGACAGACTGAACGCGGGGTGATCAAAAGCATGTTCCGTACCACAATAAATGTCTCCACCGGCGAGGATGAAAGGAAAGAGTCAGTGGGAATGGCACAGAAAATCGCTGAGCTCAACGACTACAAATGCCCTCCGCATTCTCATCGGTCCACGACAGCTTGTGGCTCCAATGGACCTAGAAAAGGTGTCCTGAACGGGAAGATTCCCTTCATGATACCCTTCATCTCTGATGAACTGAGCGCTTCCATAAGGAGGTGCCTGAAGAGATCGGGTCTGGAAAACACGGTTGACCTTGTGGATATTCCTCCCAACACCTAAAACATCGTCTCGTTCGAAACCGTCTCTGTGACCGAAAATGCGCGAGCGAGAACTGTGTGGTCTGTCCCAATGGCAGTGATGGAGATTGTGCCATCGCAGGTGTGGTTTACAGGATTATTTGCCTAAATTGTGGAGACGAATATGTAGGGGAGACGACTAGACTGCTTAACATTCGTGTGAGGGAGCATTTGGAGGGAAAGGCGAGGTCGCGGCCATCTACTACCTTAGGTTGCCACAGGCTTGAACCTCATAACGGAGACGATTTTAAGGTCATAGTCGATGTCGTGGAGCGCGAAACCCAGACAGCTGCGCGCAAAACCCTGGAGCGTTCTGGGTTCGGGTCAGGCATCCAAAAATGAGCAGGAGGGGAGAATGTGTGTCAATAACGCGGGAACTGACCCCTTATATAGCCTTCCAGCGGAACGTGAACTCTGATCAGCCTGGTATACGCTACTATTGTCGTCCCGGTGGGCTGACTCTGCTGATCTGAAAGTTACGGTTTTTATCCAACTGTTAATTACGTGATGACTTAACTGGTTTCGAAAGTCCCGTGGGGGGTGAGACATTTGGTCGGATAAACCACGAACTGGTTTGCACCTTTTTTAAGCTCCGGAGAACGCGAAAATCGCCGAAACGTTAGCCGAAGGAATTGTAATATTTAACCTCGTGCTCTGTTTAAATAATATAAAGTTGTACTGGAATCATGCCGAGGTTCATCGAGAGTCGAACATGGCGAAATTCCTTAGCTCCCTTAGATCTGCCTGAAGAGACCAGGTCAAACGTGAGCTGGATGGCCATG